CTCTCTCTCTCTCTCTCTCTCTCTCTCTCTCTCTCTCTCTCTCTCTCTCTCTCTCTCTCTCTCTCTCTCTCTCTCTCTTTGTGTGTCTGTCTCTCTATTTGTAGATTGTGATGGAGGAGTGGAGGCTCCAACCAGGATCACAGAAGAAGAAAATGAAAACGAGAGGAAGATATGGATTTTCTAGGTTTTCTTTCATTTTTTTGATCCACACACTGGCACACAGGACATTTGCAATAGCCATCGGCTGCACGTCTGAAACAACAGCCTTCTGAAAAGTTGCTTCGCAAAAAAGAGAAGAAAACAGTGCTTCTTGCTTGAAAAACAAAACAAGCGAACAAACAAACAAACAAACAAACAAACAAACATAATCTTTGGAGATGCGGGCCCCGTGCTGCCTTTTTGGCTGGTCAGCCAAGGCGGACAAATTAAGTGACTGCCACCGACTGATCGTTTGAAATTTGGATGCTCTTTTCGCAAAAAACGAAATCCTTGCAACATGGCCATGGTGGATACATTCATTACATCACCAGATTCTTTTCATGTGCACATGAGAAGAATCTGGTGATGTAATGAATGTATCCACCATGGCCATGTTGCAAGGATTTCGTTTTTTGCGAGAAAAAAAGAGCATCCAAATTTCAAACGATCAGTCAGTAGCAGTCACTTAATTTGTCTACCTTGGCTGCTGGGCAGCTCTGTTTGACGATATATATATCGTCAAATACATAGATATCGTCAAACAGAGCTGCCAGGTAAACCGTCGGCAGAGAGGGAAACGAGGCCAACAAACGAGGGGCTGTGACAAACTGTTTCATATATATATTGCAATCAGACTCGCTTCTTCTCACTTCATATGCATGCAAACAGATGGTGAGACACACTGGCGCCCGGCGCCCACACAAAGCTCAGAGATAACACGACCCAGAATACAGTTCAGATACAAACTCGCTTCCGATTGGCTATGGCGCATGAGCGCCCACACAACATCTGTTCGACACTGTACTCCCGCAACTGTTCACACGCACTCGACTCTCGATCTCCCTGGATATCCCACGCACACTCACACTGCATTACACACATACGTACATACACACACTTACTACCCATCGCTTACTAGCAGCGATGGCTGCTCCGCTCCTTCCTCAACCCACTTCGACTTCAGGCATCTGCAGACCACCTCGCACAAGACGCTAGGGCAGCGCTTCCGCATGGCTCGCGCAGGAATGAATGAATAGCTGGATGCTGCCTCTTGATTTATACTTCTGTAGGCCGTTGGTCTGCCTCTTTCCACTGGTCCCACGGTGCACACACTCCCACATGGTACTTGCTGACTGGACAACGTAAGACTGGGACTGGGTACCGCTGACTAGACAAAGTTGGACTGCCTACTTGCTTACACAGGTAAGGTAAGGTCTGGGGATCGAGCCCTGGGATCCGCATCTGTGACTGCAAAAGGTGAAAACCGTTTCAATATATATAAAATATAATATTACACATATACGATCTATATATATATTTGCCATCTGCGCCCCACCAATTCCTCCTCTTCTTGGAGGTGCAGTAATCAAAGGAAGGCTGTCTTACCTGTAGATAAAGAGAGCCCTGACGGTTGTGCAAAAGACGAATCATTTCCACTGTAACCAACACGGCAAAAAAGAAGAATGAACCATCAGGATATGACAGCAGTTGGCATACTACGTAGGTGAATGTTGAAACAAATGGCAGTGGAGAAGGAAGGATCAGGGCAGGTTACGGGTTGATATAGCCACCGAAACAACTCTGTAACTTTGCTCCTAGACTTCTTACTATTATAGTCAAACAATTTACTGTTGAATATTGAAAATAATATAGCAATTGTAAAACAGGAAAACTCAACAGAATAGCCAGCGACTTTTTTTTTTTTCCTTCTTCTTTTTGTGTGTGTTGTGTGTGTGTAAATCGGAACCTCACGGTTCCGGCTCCTTGTCCATTCTGGGGAGCATCAGTCTGGATCCTATTCCACCGGCAAGTCGGATCACAATTAATACTCTCTCACGCTCCTCCCCCTTGTGGTGTGGAGGTCCGAAGGGCGGCATGGATTACTTCCCGAAGGAAGGAGGTACCACCCCTTCACCCCTGCCTAAGTTTGCCTGTTCTACTGGGAATCTGTTCTTATGCTGTATTTAGTGCTGAAACCCTAAACCCTAGTTTAATACTTCTATCATATGTCTGTAGTCTCTGGTGGTCGTTTCCGTAAGATAGCCTGATGTGGTTCCTGGGGCAGGTTTAAATTCTAGGTATCGCTTGAAGGAGGGTCTGTTTGAATTTAGTGAAGGTATTCTTGGTAGGGCAGGTGTTGAGGTTTGGGGGTTGGCTGGGTTAGGGGGGTTTTGATAGGCTTGTTGTACTGGGTAATGTGAAGAGGATGTGAGGGGGGAGGGGGGAGAGGAGGTGGGGTAGTAGAAGATAGTGGTGGTATGGAGACTGTTGCTTCGGGGG